TCGATCATCATCTTATTATATTATACCGATTATTAATTATTAATTTATCTTTGTTTAGGTATGCTCTAGGAATACATGTGATATGTTTCAAACAATTGTAGAAGCACTTCAATTTATGAATATTGAAAGACAATGTTTAATAAGATTTGGAACAATAGATCAGGGAATATTAAACATATTAGATTATTTCCCTTTTGATCCATTTCGATTAAAAACTTCACAACCATACATTGGCCCAATTTATCGAGATTGGGCCGGTATGCCGGATAAGAATCAAGTAGCTATGGAAGAATAAGGATTTCTAACTTAGTCGAAATGTGAATTATAAAAAAAAAAAGATTTCATAGATTGTTAAAGAAAAAAGAAAAAAAAAAAAAATAGCGCCGAATGAATGAAAAAAAAATAGTACATTAATCAAGTAATTTAAGGCTAATTAATTATTTTTATTAGTTTTGCTTGCAAGTTGTAAAATGTTCTTTAATGAAAAATTGTATTGATAAATTGTGATTTCAAGGTCAAAATAAATAAATTAATACCAAACACACTTTCTATTCAAAATTTTATTATTGCAAATATTTTATTTATATGTTACCATTTTTATTATGTCAGCCTCTAACATATGATCTAGTCAATTTTTTACCCAAATTTCCGGGTCGGAATACTTCGGCTAACTGGTTGAGCAATACTAACAGACCATAGCTATGATTTCATATACAGTTATTAAAAAATTACTGATGATTGAATCGATAAGTTTCTGATGCCGACCGAAGTCGGTAACTTATTGATTCCGATTCGGGACACTGAAAAATTGCTGATTCGATAAGTTTATTTCCATACTTTTTATCTATTATCATAAAATGTATATAAAGTCTTTTTATATATAATTTTAGCATTACCAATTTGAAAATTTTGTTAAAATATTGTGGTGGCTGAAGCTGAAAATTTTTAATATTTTATTATTAAATTTTTGAAATTTTTTGGGGTGCATTTTTTTAGCTTTTTTTTTATAGTTAGATTAGAATTTAGGGTTAGGGTTTATATTAAAAGAGTATAAGTAGATTTTAGCAGGGTCTAGCATGACAGAAGTTCAATTTTATTGGCTGCAAATAGGCAGTCTGATGATCCTGATTTCCTAGATTATGATTGGCTGATTGAAATTCATAAAATTCATAAAATTCTTTAAACTATTCTTAGAACTTGTATGAACCTCTGATCTTCGTGTTAGGCTTGGTGGTTAAAGTTTCGCTGCGAGTAAAGTTTGGCGTGAAGTTTGTTGTAGTTGAGTTAAGGCCGTTGGATCAAAGCTTGTTGTAGTTAAGTTTATTAGAAATAAGGTTTCGTTGGAGCAATTATCTTTTTATCAAGTTTGCCAGTCAAATTTCGCTATAGTAAAGTTTCAACGGGGGCAAATCTTGCCTAACAAGTTTTTTTCGCTGTGATCAAGCTTCGCGTAGTCAAGCCATAACCATAGTAAGTTTTATTATTGTTAAATTAGTATTAGCAATAATAAAAGCCTAATAGATTATATTTTTTACGGGAAAGAAAAAAAAAGCTAATCTGAAAAAAAGCTTTGTAGTATAAGAAGCCATAAAATAACAATCAAAAATTTTGGTCCCTGTTCAGTTGTTGATTGTACGAATATCGATGTCAAGTTTCGTACAATCACTGAGCTTGCATACTAGAAATGTCATACTAAACGAACATTAGAAACATATCCGTACCTCAAGGTTGGACAACAACTCTGTCATCTGCATTATTGTAAACTTGTGGAGCCAGATAGAGAACGACGGGGGCATAAATCAAAAAAAAATACAACCAAAAAAAAAAGTGTTAGAACCAGTAAATCCTTTAGCGAATAATAATGCAGTTAAGATTTATATTTTTTTATATAATATTTGTTTCATATAATTTACTAATTTTTTTTTTTTGTTAATTAAACAGATCACATTCGCTTCAGGCATTGAATTGTTAACAAAAGCATTGTATCATCAACAGCATCGGGAATGTACGAGTTTGGAACTAGACCTGACAAAATTTGAACAAATAATAGAAACAACCAACCCTTAACTTAAGGGCTTTTTTAATTACATGACAAATACGATTATTCCAAAAGAACGCTCAGCTTATAATATAAGTGAGGCTAAAAAATCTATAGTAGGATTATGTTACACAATAGTGGGTTTGCATAACAAATTTGTTAACCAACACAAATTGGAAGTTGGGTTATATTTGATGGCCTCAGGTTCGACATAGGAGGCTGTTGACACTATGTCAATTCTGGGGTACTCGGTATGTGCTAAGACTGTAGAAGCATATAGAAAAAAAATTAAAAATGAATATTCAGCAAAAATCGAAAAATATTTTTTAGAAAATGTAATTATCAATTCTATTTAGTTTTATTAAATAAATTTATATATTCATATTTTAAAATATTACTGTATTATTTTTTTTATTTTTAGAATAATTTGTTTCATGTTTTTAATATCGATGACTACTATGCAATTCATGAGAATCGTAGACCTGACACAGTTTCAACATCAACTGCTAATCATTTTGCTACTTGTGTAGCAAAACTGATTTTAGGGTATGAGTCGATTCCAATTATATTTAATGGTGTATCAATATATAATCTAGTAAATGTAGAAGCATCAAGGATTTGTTGGTACTTACTAAACAGATATACTGGAAAATTTGATATATCATATTTAGATAGACAGCTATGTAGAAATTCACAAGGTTTAGTTTATAATAATTTTGACTCTATCGAAATTCTAATGGTACATAGTTATGCTGACAATATAGAAGCAAACAAGGAAGAATGATCAACAAATGGGCTTTTGCTCATAGGATTTAAGAAACAACCTTTGAAATCTGTACAAGATTATGTAAATGTTTTAAATCTTATCTTATTGATAAATGAAAAACTTATTTTTTGAATAGCTGAGTTATACTAGTTGTAGCTGACTGGCTTGGTCAGATTTTTATTAGAAAAGCATTTCATATGAGATTGTCATGACAATCGGGTTTTTCACAACAAATAGAATCTTTTATACCTATACTAGGTCTGCTTCATGTATCTCTAAATAGCAGAGAGCAAGTTATATTAGTATATCATTCATTTTTTAAAAAATTATTCCATAATGTATTTGGAAAAGATAAAAAGTTTGCAAAGAAACCTCGTCCTTGGAGGATAAATCTTATTTTAGAACTTACAAGAAATGCTTGAATCAAAATTAAAGACAAAATTATTAGAAAATTTGGCCATGTATACAAGGATATTGAATACTAAACTATGATAGATTTATTTGATAATTTAGTACCTGCTACATTTGATGTTTATGCAATTTTGTTTCAATTAGATCAATTTAATGAATATGTTGAGGCAGTTTTTCATATCTGAACATTTGTACTATGTTGGAAGTGAAAAAATTATAATAAAGCACCTCTTGTATTTCTTTCAGATGTGTTTTACTAGAATGATACTAA